CTGTCCCCCAGAGCAAAATGCTGTCACAGCTGTGACCACCCGAGCTCAGCTTGGCCCTCGTGTGGTTCTCCCTCAGCACATCCCAGGTGTTTGTGAGCAGCCTGGGGAAGCTGTTGCTGGGCAGGTGGGAAGGTGTCCCTGCTTTTCCTGGATGTCACCCCTGGTGTGTGAGAGCAGGGATGGTCCAGCAGCAGCTCCTGGGCTCGTTCCCAAGGCCAGCCCTGTCCAAGTTCCTCCTGCACCACCTTTTGGGGCCTCTCCAAACTCCTCTCCCCTATAGGTTTTCCTATCAGCACTGACACTTCCTCCCTGGGGAGGGAAGGAGCAGCCTGTTCCCAGCAGAGCCCATGGCTCGTGCCTTCACCAGCACCACTGACCACAGCAAAACAGGAATATTTCCCTATGTTTCTTTTGCCCTTTCCATTCCCTTCTTGTTTTAACATCAGATGCTCAAAACGCAGCACGTGAAGTCTCACAGTCTCCTTAAAAATGCCATGGGAGGATTCTCTGTGCTGCCCAGAGTGGAAATGTGGCACTTGTCAGGAGCTGTCAGCTCCAGCATTCCCGAGGGGCCTGAGCTCTTCTGCCACGGCTTTAATTCCACCCTCATTAGTGGGGATTCGTTAGCAGCGATGCCGTGGCTCAGGCACAGCCCGGGCCCGGGGTCAGCTCTGCCCTGCCGGAGCACGGGGTGATGTGGGCGAGGACTGCACTTTATCCAAACACAGGCACTGCTGCAGCCTTCAGGCTTTCCAAAATCCCAGGGAGATGTTACTGCAGTGAGAGCCGGGGGAACACGGAGGGGACGGAAGTGTTGGCATTGCCGAGAGCGTCGTGGGGCTCGGGATGCTCAGCGTGTCGGAGCCCCAGGCTGGGAATTCTGCTTCCCCTTGTTCTGTTTCCATTCGAGGCCAGTTGAGATTGTGGATCAGCAGAGCAAATCCAACTGTTCCCAGGCTCTTTGGCCTTTTTCCCAAGCTGTTTTTTTTCTCTTGGGATGATCCCCCTGCACCTTGTGCTGGAGCAGGAGCAGGATGTGCGGTGGGATCTGTCTGCATGTGGTGGGATGAATTCCTCCTTGCTGAGCGCCCCTAAAGGGGGGGGATTTGGGAGTGAAGGGATAAAGAGGCTGCTGCTGGGAGATACCAGGGCAGCAGCAGCGTTGGGAGGGATGGAATTCTGTGAGGAAATGAAATGTTCCGGCAGGAACATCTTCCCCACCCACAGGGCTGGTGCTGCCCCTCCTGGCCCTTCTGCTGCGGCTTTTCCCAAATTATCCCAAACACCACCGAGCCCCCTGGAAAACAGGACCGGCATTCACAGCCCAGCTTTCTGCTCCTGAGACCTGCCAGGACCTGCCAGGAGGAGAGGGGCTTTTCCAGAGCGCGCTCCCACCCGTGCCACCATCCCAAACACCTTCCTTGCCACCACGCACCGTTCTCCCGGGATTTTCAGGGCATCCCAGGGTCACTCCGAAGCTCAGGTTTGGTTGTACGATCCCATCCCAACTCCTGGGGCTCTTGGCAGCTGCACCTTTTCCCCAGTTCCAGAGTTTCTGCTGCTTCCCCCGGGCACGGAGCGAGGCCTTTCCCGCTGTAAATAGCAACGACCGAGGTGACACGGCCCCAGCCCCGGCTGTGTCACACGGCCCCTGCCCTCCCCTTGTGCCCACGGTGCCCTGAGCACCGCCAGGAGCTGAGAGACAAGGAACACTCCTTCAACACGAGCACAATGTTGAGTTTTTTTGTAAAAGGTTCCAATAAATGGAGAGTTTAACTTGGGAGAGTCTCGGTGCCTCTTTGCTGGGGGTGGGGACGGGGCTGATGCTGCTCCTGGCCCTGGGACACCCCAAAAACCAGGCAACTTCTGGGTTTCTGTTCCCATGGAGCAGGGGAGCTGGTCTGGAATGCTGGGAACTCCTCATGGATGGCAGTGCCCGGGGTTCATCGTGTCCCTGCTGAGCTCATGGCTGGGCCAGGACAGCCCCTGGGAGGGGTTGGACCCTGAGTGGCTTCCAGGGCCACCCCATCCCCGTTCTGGGGCTGCTCTGTGTGGTTTCTGTAGGTGTGGGGGTGTTTGTAGGCAATGAAAGCAGCAGCTGAGCCAGCTGGGACTGCAGCTCCATCCCTGCCCAGGAATCCAGAGCCGAGGGCTTTCAGGGGACACTTCCCACGGCATTGATGGCTCAGGATGCTCCTGGTCCCTCTCCTATGAAGGAGGTGGAAAAACCAAACGGATCCACAAGGTTTGTAAGTAAATTCCCAGCTTCAAACATGCAGGGAGGAGCAGAGGGGAGGAATGGAGCCAGCTGGGCCACGAGCCATGGGATCCCCTCCACGCTGGGCTGGCAGTCCCTCAGGATTTCCTGCATGTGGCTGCATTTCCTCCCTCCCTTCCTATTGCCTTTTGTTTTTTGCCCTCCCTCCTGAGCAGCTGCTTCCTCCGTGGTCACTTTTCACTTCTGTTGTCACTTTTCACCTCTGTCTCTTGCCCTTGCTGCTCCTCCCACTGGGAATTGTGTCCTGCATTTTCCCTTCTGCCTTGGAGTAAGGCTTGGTTTGTGCTGGGGTTTGTTTCCAGGAGAGGCTCCAGGAAAACCCCAAAGGATTTTAATCCTGGAGGGAAGAGGTGTATGCTCAGCCTCCCAAATGCCAGTGATCTGTCCCCAAAATACTGCAGGGAGGCAGGGCCATCACTGGCAGGGAAGGGCACAGAATTCCTCACTCCAGGACCCCGGCCTGGCAGCAGCAGTGGGATGTTGGTTTGGGATCTGGCTCCCAAACGAGCCCAGCAGCACCTTGGGCACAGACTCAGCTGGAGCCGATTTTCTCCTGAGGCTTTTCCTGAGATAAAAATCTCCTGATCAATAATTTTTCCTGCTGTAACTGCTGTGTTTGGTGAGAGAAGCCACAGCTCCGGTTCCATTTCCCCGTTTTCCTCTGAGAGTTTCTAGCCTGGGATGAGGAAACAGAGGCGATAAATCCTGTTAATCATTTATTCACTCCCTGCTCCCAGGAGGAGGGCAGGGTGAAGTGCTTTACACTCCACTCCTCTGCACTACAAAGTGCCCTCGATTCTCCCTTTTGGATGATGCACTCCTTGCTAAAACACAATTCCACTGGAATTGTTCTTGTTCTGGCCAGCAGTGCCATGAAAGCCACCAGCTCCTGCTGAGCCCAGGACAGGACCTGCTGCCACCCCTTCCCGGGTGATCTGTCCCAGGTGATGGGTCCTGGGAGGACCTGCCCCACTTCATGGTCTTCCAGGGAAGAGTTCACAGTCCATGGATCCTTGAGGGATGAGGGTCACAGTCCATGGATCCTTGAGGGATGGGGTCACAGTCCATGGATCCCTGAGGGATGAGGGTCACAATTCATGGATCGTCAAGCAATGATTTCACAGTCCATGGATCCTTGAGGGATGGGGTCACAGTCCATGGATCCTTGAGGGATGGGGTCACAGTCCATGGATCCCTGAGGGATGAGGGTCACAATTCATGGATCGTCAAGCAATGATTTCACAGTCCATGGATCCTTGAGGGATGGGGTCACAGTCCATGGATCCTTGAGGGATGGGGTCACAGTCCATGGCTCCCAGGTGACAGCTCACCTGTGACAGGTGAATGGGACCTGTCAGATCCCACCTTTCCCACCACGAGCCTGCCCAGGTTCTGATGCGCAGCCAATCCCAAATCTCCTCCCACTCCTGCCAAAGGCTGAGCTGCTGTGGGGCAGCTGTGGGGCACAGACCCAGCACTTTGCTCCGGTTTCCCTCTGCTCCTCACGTCCAGGTGCTCATGGAGGTGAGAGAGCCCAGTGACAGTGACTGAGCCAGGGCAGGGACCGGGCGTTAACTCCCCTGCTCCAGCTGTTTTCACTGGGTCTCACGTTAAAGGAGAGAAAACACAATAAACTCATCTCCACCAGCTGCTCCATAAAAACCATCCCAGAGCAGAAACCCGATTTTAACCTTTCCTCCCCATTACTCCTGTGGGAGCACAGGGTTGGGAAGTCACTGGGAATTAATCACTTGCCACACACCCCACTAATTGTGTTTAATGAGGGAAGCAGTGGAGAGAGGCTGGAGCAGCTCAGGAAGGGATGTGGGATCCAGGGAATGGGGATGGCCACGGCACAAACAGCCACATGGGGGCCAAGGGAATTTATTTTCCCCTCTGGAAGAAGAGTGAAACCAGGAACTTTTGCTGCTCTTCGGCCATGAAATTGGGAACTTCTGGATAAAGCCTGGATTGCATCCATGGTATTCCTCCCCTGGCAGCTCCCTGGGCTGCCACGGTGCCCTCTGCAGGACTGAGCCAGCCCCAAGAAATGCTGTTTGTTTTTCTGTGCAGAAGGAACAAACACTTCTTTCTCCAGTTTAAGTAGGGTTTCCCATTAAAGAATTCCCCTCCCAGCATGTTTGTTTTTCCAGCAGGTACAACCTGAATACAACAAAACAACCTACTCTCAGCTGCTGGACTGGATGGAACAATGAGAAGTTTTCCTGCTCAAAATGACAGGAAGAAAAATGTAAAACTTTCAATTTTTACTTTCTCTGCCTGAGGAGGGTGGGAAAGCCTTGGGAATGTGAAAAGGAAGGCACTGGAGCAGCGGGATCAGTGCTGGAGGTGAGGTAACCAGCAGAAAGATGAGTTTATCCCACGGCCTCTCTGGGTTAGGAATAATCCCTCTGGAGTTTATTAAAGTGAAATTATCCCAGTTCATTTACTCTGTTTTTAAATGATGCTAAAGCTGCAGACCCCGATGAGGATTTAATTCCACCGCCCCAAGTTTCTCGTGTTGGTGACACCACTCCTCACACACCTGTGCACACACAGAATAAAGGTGTGGGTGCTGGCATCTGCACACCCAAGCCAGCAGAAACCCTTCATGGGAATGATGAAATGGGATGTGGACACTGCAATGGCAAAGAGATTTTATTACAGAGCTGCTTCCACTCCCTCCATCTTCCCAAAGGGATGAACTGGAGGAGCAGCTTTATTTCCCAAAGGCATCAGGACAAGGATGTGGAATGGGCATGGAGAGGCTTTTATAAACCACGGGATGTGCTCCCTCCTGGGCAGACTCACTCTGCTTTTTATTTTTTAACACCAAATAAATACAAAACAATCCAATAGAAAATGAACAGCAGTAAATCTGAGAAATGGGAAGCCTTTAAAAGCAATACTATTGACTGAGGTGAGGCCCCAAATACGTGACTTGGGGAGGGAAAAGCCTCCCCAGGCCTGCAGTACAGATGGGTTTGGATAAATGACTCAGAATTCCATCCAGGATTTGGGATGGGGGCGCTGCAAGGACAAGTTTTTGGAAGGTAGAAACAAGAGGCACTTAAATCTCGAAATGGTTTTTATGAGTATTAGGAATTTTCCTGCTTTATGGACTTCCCTAAGTGTCTTCCTGAGGTGTTTCCTCTGCTGCTGATGGAGGAACCCAGGAGGAACCAGTGCAAGGCCTGGAGCTCCAGGGACAGATGTGGCTGTAACAGGTGAGGCTGCAGCATCAAATAAACACTTGAATTCCTACAGGATAAAGCTTTTCCAAAGTGCCTCTGCTTGTGCAGGGAATGGCCAGGCTCTTCCCACTATTCTCCATGTCCACCAGACCCCCTTTTTTTCCATTTTTATTTGTACGCTCTTTGCCTCATCAGCTCTCCCCTCCTCTTGCCAGTGAAGGACACGTGAACAACACACAGGAAGGAGAGGCAGGGAGAAGGATCTGGGGACTGGGAAGAAGCAGTGGGAGGAAAAAGGCCATTGTTTCAATATTCCTGCAGAGTTCTGTCAGGTGAAGGACCAGGGCAGACACTGCTGAGGGACACAGAGGAGCAGCAGTTCACCCTGATGTTGTAAATAAACACTCCAGTTACTTACTCTGCAGTTCTTATCTCCTGTAAGATTCCCAGCTCCCACTTTTACACAACAGGAATCTCCTCCAAAGTACTCCACAACAGGTTAAAAATAAGATTTAAAAAATAGATATTAAAAATACTCCCTTGCTCCTCCATGAAGGGGAATGTGGTTTCTGGTCTCTCTGAATCACAGGATTCTCTCTCTCTCCTTGGACAGATCCAAGTTCTGCTCCTCCAGGCTCTCTCCTTGCAGAGCCTCCTGATGTCCATGAGCTAAAATTTCTGCAGGAATTTGAGCACCAGGTCCCGCAGCTTCACCCTCAGGGGCTCGTCATTGTCACAGATGATGTGGGTGGAGTCCTCCTCCAGCTGGATCAGGGTCTCTGCCTCCTGCAGCAGCACAATGTGGCCCTTGGCCGTGTCCTCCACCTTCACGTCGCTGAAGCCGTGCTGGATTTGGGGTGGGAGAGGGAGAGAGGGAAATAAATGAGCACATTTCAGGAAAACTGGGAGAGAGGAGACAGCAGGGCACAGGGATGAGGGGGAATTGCATGGAATCAAAGATTGGTTTGGGTGGGAAGGGAACCTTAAATCTCATCCAGTGCCACCCCCTGCCATGGGCAGGGACACCTTCCACTGTCCCCGGCTGCTCCAAGCCGTGTCTGAGCTGGCCTTGCACACTTCCAGGGATCCAGGGACAGCCACAGCTTCTCTGGGCACCCTGTGCCAGGGCCTGCCCACCCTCCCAGGGAACAATTCCTGCCCAATATCCCATCCATCCCTGCCCTCTGGCAGTGGGAAGCCATTCCCTGTGTCCTGTCCCTCCATGCCTTGTCCCCAGTCCCTCTCCAGCTCTCCTGGAGCTGCTTTAGGCACGGGAAGTCTGCAGTCCCACCCTTTTCCCTGCTAATTATCTCCAATTATCCCCTGCAGGTGAGAACAAGACTCCAGAGAGCAGCAAGCGAATTTGTTCAGCTTCCTCAGGAGGCTCCTCCACTAGTGGAGACATTTCCAGGATCTATTCTTCACTTGTTCACCTTCTTACAAATCTTGTAGAAATTTAAATGCTTTTGAGACTCCCTCAGCTGCTGAATCCAAAAGTTCTGTGAGGCAAATCACCCACCCAAAAGCTCTGCTTCCATGGGAAAGAGGAGGAGATCACTGACATGAACCCTGCATAGCAGGAACAGCTCCATAGGGAACAATTCCCTCTATTCTGAAGTGCAGAGACACCCTGGAGCACTTTGGGAACTCACTGGCCTTTCTCCATTTCAAGCCACAATAAAATTACTTTCCCTCTCTCTGAGACTCCTCACCTTCTCCAGAGTCTGCACAAACTGGTCCACAGGGATGGAGCCACTCAGCAGCGGCTTCAAAGATTTGCACTCGGGCACATCATCACTCACCCGCTTCCTCTTCTTGCTGGCAGGAGGTTGGGGAGGTTTTGGGGGGAGCTGATGGATGAGAAAGGAGAAAAAAAAAATCATCCCACTCTAAAGCAAACAACAGGTTGGGAAACAGGCAAATTCAGATCGAGCAACTACTCAGGGAATGAGAACGTGGCTTAGTTCCAGCCATTTATGAGGATTCTGGCATTTTAAGCCCAGGTCTAAGTTTATTTGGCAGCAGGAATGGGTGGAGAAGGGAGTAAATGAACAACAGCAGCCTCAGCCCAATTCCATTGCAGCACTGCAGTGTTTCCAGCGCTGCTGAGGGTTTCCAGGGAAGCAGCTTGGGAAGAGGAGGGCAGCCTGTCTGCTGTGCTCTGACTGAAATCCTCACCCAACCTTCATGTCCCTGACATTTCCACACTGGGCTCTCTTCCCAAGTGTCCTGGGCCCAGCCAGCTCTGCTGCCCAGTGTGGGAAGGGTTGTTCAGTGAGGCCCTGCAGCCTCATGGATCTGAGAGAAAGGGGACCAGGGCAGCTGCTGCTGAGCAGGTCCCTGGCCATCCCCTGCTCCTGCAGGGGTGTACAGAGATGTGCAGCCTCCAGGGACACGGAAGGCAGATGGTCCCTTCCCAAGTCTGATGTCCCACGTCATCTCTCTCCTCCAGCCCTTGGTCCTGAGAGGTTGACTGATGCTGTTCCTGACTATGGAAGACAGCAGGATGATCTGTAGCCTCTCTTCAGGAATTATCTCACTTCCCCTTTTATCTCAGCCAGGCACATAGCCAAGGAAAAGAGGGCAGAGAGATTGATTTGCATCCCACTCCCTGCTCCGGGTGTAATTCCTCAGCCGCACATGCCAGGGCAAAGCCTCTGCCAAGGGCTCTGCTCCAGTGGGAAGGAGCTGCAGGAGGGCTTGCTGGGGTCCTGGATGGCAGCAAAAGCCAGAATAAGGATATTTTTCTCCCTTTCCCATTAGGCTGTACCTGCAGCACGTGCTTGTTGTCCTTAGTATGCAGCACAGCAGAAACTGTTGCCAAGGAAATACCAGGCTTGATCTCCAAGGGCACGAGGGAATCTGCAAGCTGAAGCAAAAGGAGATTTTGTTCAGCAAGTGATCAGCTCAAAACATGCATGAACCCAGCTGTGAGATAAATTGGCAGTGTGGTATTTTTAAACATGGGCTAATGAACTGTAAACACAAAGCCACTGATAGACTGAAGAGCTCCTCGGACCTGCCCAGCCTCCTTCCAGCTCCCAAAATTATGGATTTCACACCATGAGCAGAGCAGCACGAGGTTTGCAGGGAGCAGGGCTGGTCCCAAAAACCATAATAAGCACAGAGAACCCTTGTGTGAAGAGACAATTGTTTCATTAATAATTTTAGTGAGTAAAACTTGTGGTCTAATCCAGCATTATTATGTTTGTTATGCTGATGAACAATGAAAAATCAAAGTGAGTTTCCTCTCAGTTCCTGACTGCAGAATATCTGGAATAAGAAGGGTTTGTCCTTAAAAACCCCAATGTTTTCAATCAACCCACTGTTGATTAGTTTGAAATTATTCCAAGAGTGCTGCACAAAACCCTTCCCACTGCCTTTTATATAATTCTTCCCTGAAAGACATAAAATTTAGTCTTGGCTTGGAGTTTGGATCTAACAGTGCTGGCAGTGCCTGGAGTGGGCAGTGCTGCACCTGCTGAGACCAGTGGAAGTTGGCCAGTTCAGAAGCACCTCTTCCAGCCACTTTTCCAAAGGAATTCTGTGGAAAAACAGTGCTCATGAATGGAGAAAATTATTCCCTTTTTCCCTCCAAGGGAATTCAAGGTGCCAGGATGCCCAATCCTTTTGCCATGAAAGCACTGGGAGGGTTTTTCTCTTGGCTTAGGTGGTGGCAAAGTTATTTTAGGAAGTTCTGAAATCTCACCTGCCACTGTAAAAGATGCAGGAACATTTTGAGAGCAGCTCCCTGGAATAAAGCAGTTGGTGTGTTGGAAAAACACAGGCTGCATTAAAAATCCCTAAATTTTGTCTGTATTCAGCCTTGGTGAATCCTAGAAATCCAAATCTGATGGAGCAATTCAGCTCACTGTTACTCTGGGACTCTGTTCAAGATCTTTAAAGCAGGCAATTTGAATAGAGCCTTTATGGTTTGTTGTTGAAGGCAAAGAGAATGAAAATATAACAACAATCATGGCTTCAGATTTCTCCTGGGAGCTGCGAATAGCAGCACTTGCAGCAGTGAGTTCTGCTGCCTTGCCAGTGGTCGAAGGCACTTCCCATTCCAACCACCTTCCTGAGGAGGATCGATACAAAACGAGCTCTGATGAAGAACAAAATGACAATTCCTGTGAAGAGGAAGATCCTTAAAGAACAGGGAGTGCCTTGGAACCAAAGTCTTCTCCTGCCACAGAAGTATTTTGCTATTAATATTTCTGCAGGCTTTAAACAGGCTAAATAGCAACACTTGGATTATTTACAGTCAGAAAGACAGTAGGACAGGCATTCATTTTTATTTCCTCCCCAGCTCACAGCCCTCTCCATGTGGCAGCCAATCCTTCTATTACAGAAACTCAGTGACCCAAACCAAAAAAGGTCATTTAATCACATCCAGTAATTCACGCACCAAGGCCAGGCAGCACTGCTCTACTCCTTTCAACTGACCTCCTGCACACACAAATCACAGAACTCCTCCAAAACGCTGGATTAAAGAAACCCTTTTCACAGAGGCAGCAAGTCTTGTCTGAACTCCAAGCTACAGCAACTCCACTGTTTCCCCTGACAAGTGGTTTGAAACTTTCATTCTCCTGGCAGCCAGGAAGCCGTGTCTCATTTCAAGGTTGAATTTGTCCAGCTTGCAGTGGCTGGCTCTTGTTGTGCCTTTGTGTGTGAGACTGAAAAGCCCCCCACCATGCAGGAATAAATGAGTCTTCCTTCCAGTCATTATCCCCAGCCCAATGTCACACGCTGGCACCAGGAAAGCCACCAAAGCAGGGACACTGAGATCTAACACTGCATTAATCAGTGCCCATGGATGAGCACTTGGACTACCTTAGGATAAATTTGGGGGGGATGTGTGCACTGTTCCAGTTTTCCCTTGGGATGTTCTCCTGTGATCAGAGCTGTCTGCCCACGCTAAACCAGAGGAAAGATATTTTTGCCATTAAGTCTCTCCTGCAGGGTTGCATTTTCCACCCCAAAAGGGGATTTGACACACAGCCTGTGAGCACAAACACTGCTGTTGGTCAAACTACAGATGTTGATAAAGAACAATGTGGGCTGAGTCACTCTTAAGACTCTCTTAAAGACTTCAATGGGAACAATTCTCCCCAGGTTTGTCTTCAGTCAGCAGCCAAAAATCCTCTTGTTGGCAATGAGGGGCTCAACAACCACTGAGAACAGGACCTGAAACTCCACAGTAAAAATAAATGAGGCTGAATAATCAGTGAATAAAATCAGGGCAGGCCCAGACTTTGAGCACACACTGTCTTGGTTCTGTGGAGGATTCTCCCAGGCACAGACACACTGGGTGTAGAACAGCATTTTAACATCCCAGTTGAAGTAATTTCTTCTTAGATTTTTGGGACACCTCTCCAAACTCCTTCCTTTTCCCTTTTTACCTCTGGCTTACACTGGAGAGGGCACAGGAAGATTGACCCAGCAGGGAGAGGCAAAGTTTGGGCTGAGTGAGGTGAGCTGGATATGGAGAACAAGCAGGAGCACAGCAAACTGACCAGCAGTTAAAATCCCTTGAACTTTTAGGATCTGAAATCACCAATGTGTACATTAGATTACAGCATGTGTATTTAGAAAGGGGCCCAGCTGTGTTTCTACACCATTAAATGTGTTTTCCAGATTTTCAAACTGCATAAATATGGGATTTCTGCATTAGAGGGATGGGATCAAGCCAGAGAAGCACACAGGAAACCCCAAACTGTGGATTTCTCTGGCAGTCCTGAGGTGGGGAAAGCACTGGTTAAAGGAAATATTTCCAGGCAATTCCTGGGCTGCTGCTGCAATTCCTGAAGGGTCATTCCTGAGCCTACTCCTAGTTTTCATTAACGACCTCAGGACAGAACGAGGAGGAGTTTTCTGAAGGTCCCACTGAAGTTTGTAGAGCACCTTTAACAGAAAACAGGACCAGGCTGTGAGAGAGGAAAAACTCCAAGACTTCAAGAATTGGAGTGAGAAAACCAAGATGAAATTCAATAGCACAAAATGAAGGCCAAGGATGGGGCTAATGCTGAGAATCTCTGCCGTGGGCTGGCTGCTGCTGCAAAGGACAGAGGTGAAGGGTTCAGGTTTATTAATCCATACCAGGAGAGTCTACAAATGTGACATGGCCATGAAAAAGCAAAATGCAAGCCCAGAAAGTATCAGGTAATTCTCTCTGAGATAAGCTATTACTCTTACATTGGGCCTGGCAAGATTTCATCTGAACTACTTGTAAATTGTGGGTAATTTCAGTTCAAGTAGGAGATTCTGAAGGGTAGATTAGGGCAGGAGGAGCTGCCTTGTAAGGGGAAACTAAATATCTTGGCTTGTTTAGCCTAGCAAAAGAAGAAAGCCAAAGGGAGAACTTGATGATTCTACATAAACACCACAGGGAAAATACCAACAAAAAGGAAAATGTATTTATGTTCAAACATGATGTTAGGAATAAATGTGTGCAGGCCAGCAGTGAATATGTGTAGGCTGGAAATTAGGATGTTTCTGGCCATCAGAGACAGTGGGGGCTTGAACAGCATCTACTGGGAACAGCAGGGGCAAAAGCCTCTGCAATTTGAAATCCTACATATTTTGGAGGCACATTATAAACACTGTTGGTGACTGCAGCTGGGTTCTGGCCATGTAAGCCCTGAGGGCACTTCCATTTCTATGTGGGAATGATGGAATACAGCCTTGGAGCTTGCTGGGTATGAAAGAATTGCCACCCAGATCCCAGCCTCTGAATAGGATGGAATTTGCATGGGACAGAAAAATATCCCCTGCCAATTATCAGAGAAGCCCAAGGATTTTAAGATTTGCCTGAGTTCAGACAAAGCCCTGGAGATCACACCTGCAGAAGTTTTTACAGTAACTGCTCCTCAGCAAAAACTGAATGGAGAACCTTCCTCATCCTCCATCCCTCCACTCCCCTGCTCCTCACACACACCAAATCCAGTTTCTGGGTGCAGGAAAGCATCTTTAATAGGACAAAAATTGCTCCAAGGCTGTGCAGGAGCCTTGCTGCAAGCAGGGAGGCTCTGTACAGTCAGTATTGTAAGCGGAATTAAAACCACTGTCTTTGCCATGTCACTTAAATTTGGATGGTGGTGCCAGGAGAGAAGGATAATTTCCCTCACCTCTTACTTCCTTGCCTCCTCTTATCCCTTAATTTTTAAAGTAATTTAGTTACAAATTAATTAATTAGTTAAGCACCAGGAGCTCTGATGGCCAGGCCCTTGTAACCAGACACAGGAGGAGTCTCCAACAGATCCAGCCTTGGTTTCACAGCCCCTGCTAAACCAGGGGACAAGTGCAGGAATTCTGCAACTGTCAGATCCTTCAGAGGGACAAAAAAATGTGGGGTCAAGCACATGGGGTGAAGGGGGAAATGAAATGTGCCTGTGGATTCGTGACCAGCAGGCACAGGGAACGAGGCACAGGCACGCTGCAGGTGGGATGGAAATTGGGGAATTTTGCTAATGAGACCTAAAGGAACAAAGGCTTTTCCACCAGAGAACATCCCAGAAATGAAGGGCATCTGTAGAATCATTAGTGGGTGAACTGAGCCAGGTCTTGTCGGGCTTTCAGCCTCACATTTGACACAATCCAAGGGTTTTAATTCAGCTGCTGAGTTAACCCAAACTTCACAGAGCTGTATCTCACTGGGGGTCTCCCACAGCTCTCTCTGGAGCAGATTTTAAAGTCTCATTAACTTCAGTGGATAAAGAATCATACCATGAACACCTAAAGATTTTGCTATCATCAGTTGCAAAAGCCCAGATCTTGGCTTTGGGTTTCCACAGAGCCAACATCCAGTGAAGAAATAAAAGAAGCAGCAGTCTGCAGTTTTGAGCAATGAATTCAAGCTCTTGTTTTCCA